CAGGTACTCTGACACTGAGCTATACCTCTAGAATATTCCTGAGTTTCAGATTGTTTGCTGTGTTATTTTATGGTTTCTTTGAACTTGCACTTTTTTTTCCTTTGGTTTTTTGAGACAGGGTTTCTCTGTGTGTAACTCTGGCTTTTCAGGAACTCACTCTGTAGACCAGACTGGCCTTGAACTCACAGGGATCCACCTGCCTCTGCCTCCCAAGTGCTGGGATCAAAGTCATATGCCACCACACCGTGCTTGAACTTGTACCTTTTTTTTTTAATTTTTAATTTAACTTTATTTTATGTGCATTGGTATGAGGGTGTTGGATCCCCTGGATCTGGAGTTACAGACAGTTATGAGCTGCCATGTGGGTGCTGGGAATTGAACTCAGGTCCTCTATAAGAGCAACCAGTGCTCTAAACCGCTGAGCCATCTCTCCAGCTCCGAACTTGCACCTTTTAAGAAAGGAAAATTATGTAAACCTTTTCAGGATATTGTTACACAAGATCACCACGGGCTGCAGAAGGTTTTTTTTAAACCAAAGTTTCGAAGAGAAGGAGTGGTTGAGTTGGGAGCACCCTAAAGGGAACTTAATTGGGGGGGGGGGCATGTGACTGGATAGCAGCTGTGGCCCCAGATTAGGGGTTAAAACCCATAGTGAGCCTGCTGGAGGGAGACAGATTGATAGCTGCCTGTCTCTGTGCTTTTGTCCTCTGGCTCCGGCCAGTTACAGCCTCTCCGTCCCTGTTGGCTAAACCTAACTGAAGGCAGAGGGGAGAGAGTTGTGGGTTGTCTGTGTTCAGCCGCCTATGCTGAGTGAAGAAGGGCGGAGGTGTACTGGGAATATATCTGCAGACTATTAAAACCTGCTTCCTGATAGTCATGTACACGTGAGCTATTGCAAATGAGTTCTCTTATGGAACTTTGAATGAGAGAAACGTGTCTAGAATTATTACTAGTGTCAAACATAATGTCTGTGGGGACTAGAGAGATGACTCAGTGGCTAAGAGCACTTGCTGCTCTTGGAGAGGACTCAGATTTGATTCCCATCACCCACATGGTAGCTCACAACCATCCATAACTCCATTTCCAGAGGATCCAGCACCCTCTTGGGTATCAGTCACATACGTGGTATACATATGTACATGCAGGCAAAATACTCTAACATATACAACAAATAATTTTTTAAAACTTTTAAGGAACATATCTATATTCTTTAGATATTAAGGAAAGAATTGCTTGCCTCATGAAAATTTGTTTAGAGAAGACTCTTCCTGTAATACTGATTTGAACATGCAACTCTCCATCACTCCCTTAAAATATTACAATTACAAATAATCTCTATAGCAAATAAAGGATCTTTTAAAAATGTATATTTTGAGACAGGTTCTCATTGCATCATCCTGGCTGACCTGGAACTCACTGTGTAGACCAGGCTGGCCTTGAATTTACAGAGACCCTTCCATGCTGCTTCCAGGGTACTGGGATTAAAGGTGTGCTCTGCCACATCCCAGAAAAAGTATTTATTTTTGAGATAAGATCTTATTGTGTAACCCAGGCTGGCCTTGAACTCATGATTCTTCTGCCTCAGCTCCTTAAATTCTGGGAACTGTAGGCACATGTACAAATAGAGGTATTTATTCAGAGGGATGACTCTGCCCCCTTTCCCCTCTCTCTCTGTCTCCCTGTAACATGTAACCTTTATGAACAGTAGGGGAAGTCACTGTACTGTACCTTGAAGAAAAGGATGTTTTTATAGTAACAGCTCACACAGCAGACATGAAGGGAGGGGGAGACATGTTGAGCAGAAGAGTTTCAGTGGGAGGAGGGCGGGGAGGGGGAGTGACTAAAACCCATTGTATACATGCTAGAACTGTCAAAGGACAGAAAGTCATTTTCAGAAAGGAACGCTGTCGAGTTAACGGCCTGCCCTTCCGACCCCGTTGTCTCTTCTGAGACCTCGTTCTCCTTACTGCGGGCATTCGACAGTCTGCATTTACCTAGCTAGCTGGCTGTGCGGCGCTCCAGCTTTGGCTTTTGTAGTCTAGCATTGTCCTTTTCTAGTGTTGGTGTTCTCAGAGAATGGTAGTACATGCTGCTAAACAAGGTAGGCACACCCCTGCCCACTAGGGTGTGCAGCCAGCCCTCTTCCTCCTCCTGGAGTCCCTCTTCATGGTTTTATGAAGACCATTAGTTCTTGACGGATCGCTCTGTTATTCTTGACCTTATGCTTTCTCTGAGAACCGTTTTATCCTCTTGAAGTTATAGTTTCGAATGCTTACCCATCTCTATCCTGAATTTTCTTTATTTAGCTCTTTAATACAATTTTATTCAGTTCTAACTATGCTCCTGATCCAAAGGGCACAATAATAGTAAAAATAGTATCCGCTTTTAGAGTTGCTGAAAGATGTGTAAAAAAGCAGTGTCGTGTAAAAAAACAGTGTCGTGGGCCAGGGGAGGGGAGGGGAGGGGCAGCTCTCACCAATAGAAGACGGAGACTCTATAAAGATACCCAGTGTTATGAATTATTGTGGGGGGCGGGAGGGACTATCCTGCACGTGCAGGGAAACATGCTGGGCAGATGCACGCCATGCCGCACCGCAGCAGTAGCGGCCAGTGATTCACAACCCAGCGCTGCATCCACGTGGAGAGTTTATTATAATAGAGAGATGAAGAGAAAGACAGGAAAGAGACAGAGAAAGAGAGAGAAGAGAGAGAGAGAGGTTGAGGATGCCCACCTCCTGGGAGGAAAAGCAGGAGAGAGAGAGGAAGGGGAGGTGTTTTTCCTTAGAATGAGGCTTTTACGTGAGGATGCAGGGCGGAGCCAAGGGGTGGGATTCCAAGGGGCGAATCAGAATATTAACCCCCAGGGTTTCAAAAGCATAGTAGTTCAGTGTGATTGGAGCCTTCAGGGCTGTGAGAGGAGTGGGAGACAAGGCTGACGGCCAGTAGGAAGTGAGGGAGAACCCAGAGGCAGTAAGGACTCTCAGGACTGAACTCACGGGCGTTCACCATGAAGAAAGTCCTTACAACCTCACGTTTCTACCGTAGGGCGACCATTCTCCACTCCAGACACCGAAGTGTCACCTGCCAGTCTGCCTCCGCAGTGTGAGCAGCCTTCAGGATGTGTCGCCCTGTCCACGACGTTATTCCTTTCCTGTTTTCATAGTTGACACTATCACTACCTTCTGAACCATTTCAGAGTTGTGTTAGATAGTTCCTTGTCCTCTTTCGCTGCTTTAGATGTTCATTTCTAAAATGCTTACTTACTGTGTCACTGACTTTGACCAAAAGAAGACTGGTTTTTATTTCCTACAAGGCAAATTCTTTCTTAGACCAGTGTTTTAAACTCAAAATCCTTTAATAAACACAACCCGAAGCCCTCATACTGGCATTAAAACCTCAAACTTTCAGAATTTAGAGATAATTAGCAGCAAAGATGTTCCTCTAACTGTGAGGTTCCATCATGAACAGATGTATTTACTGAACAGGCATTTTTGAAAAGGACAGACCTACTGCCTCCAGTCTGTCTGCCTCGACACAGTTCTAACCTTTTACTGCAGCAGGATCCCTTGTATCCATAGGAGAACATGTGCACACTGACTGGGGGAGTAGCCGGGATTAGAACCCTGGCTGTCTCCAGGACACCATTCTTCACTTCTTTAAACATAGTAAGTAGTGAGCAGTGGGACCCCTCACAGAGTCGAGATAAGGATTGAGTTCATCTGTGTCGTCCTGTGCTCGGCGTGAGTGAGCATGAAGTGTCGAGAAGTTGTCTCGATGGGATGGACCCCTTGTTCATTCCCTCTGCTCTTGTTGCTGCTGCTCTGGTGGCTCTGGTGCTGCCCTTGCTGCCTCCTGGGCCTCCTGCTCTCCCCACCCCCCACCCCCCCACCCCCGGGCCTCCCGCTCCCCCCGGGCCTCCCGCTCCACCTGTTTGCCGCCTCCCCTTGGATGCTCTTTTCTGACTATCTCAGTTTATGTCAATCTCTGAATTTCTATTGGTACTTTTATACCATATAATCATATTTCTGTTTTTATGGTATATTTCTGCTTCTTATTTCTTTTTGGATGTGTGTGCAATAATAATAACTACTAGAATTACCATCACAGTCAAGACCCAGAACATTTTGTTACTCTCCCTTGAAAAAAGTCTGTGTTGGTATTTCTTTTTAAACAAGTTCTCTGATGTCCATTCTGTTTTTACACATACAGCCAAGATCTTGAACCTGTTTTTGCACAAATTAGTTTTCTGTACCCAGCCTTAGTCTAGTGTTGCATATGTAATGAGGGAGCAGATGTGTGGGTGTTTGAGTTGTATAAAGCAAAGCCTGAGTCAGTGGAAATTTGAACATACTTGGAAACTGCCAGCCAGGTGACATGGTGTGGCGGGTAGACCTAGCTTCCTGGGAGGCTGAGGCATGTTAAAGTTTAACACTATGCCATGTTAAAGTAGTTTTGGAGCCCTGCCAAGACCAATAAAGCCATTTTTTTCGTTTGCCTTGGGGAACAAGGGCTTGTTCCTTCCTGTTTTTATTATCAAATATACTTAAAAATTTTTTTCGAACTTTATTCTAATGTGAAACAGATTTTTACTTTTTTGTCCTTCAAATATTATGATGCTATTACTAAATTCATTTATGCTAGTTTGTCTTTTTCCTTAAACGTATTTAGGATATTAAGCTGTCAAATAGAAATTAATTATGGAATATAAAAGTAGAAAACTTGCCGACATTCTCGGCTTTATTTTCCTGTGCATCAGTTTTGCTCTTTTCCCTGGTGGCTTCTTTTCTGATTGTACCTAAGGTGAGAGGTCAGTGCAGGCAAGAGGATCAGTTTTGAATGCGCAGCTGCTACGTGGTCCCATTAACCCTTCCACTGGATATCAGAGAATATCAATCTTTCTCCATAAAGGGTGGAGTTAAGATTTACATCCCGTAACCCCTTCTCCCTAAAGAAGTGAACTGAATGTAATTATATGTGTCTTTTTTTCCCTTCCCCAACAGCTTCCATGCCTATGGCTGTTCTAAATTTGGGCCACATATATCCATTTCAGAGAGGCTTTTTCTGTACTGACAGCAGCATCCAGTATCCATACCATGACAGTACCGTCAGAAGCGTTATACTCATCATAGTGGGGCTTGGCTTACCCATCTCCTCTGTAAGTAAATGACCAAGCAGGTAGTGATGGGTTCTTGTGCTGGAGGTTGGATGAAGTGACGGCATTGGGGTGGGGGTAAATTCAAGCCCTACTTTTATTAGTATTACTATGGAAAATGGTTGCTCAAGGAAGGAATTCCACTGTTTATTCTTAGAGCATCGTGATTTTCCAGTCAAAGGTGTATACTACTTAAAACAGCTTGAAGTCATTGGACCAACTCTTCTCAGGATGCAAATGAAGAGGTAGAGTCCCCCTACTGCTCAGCTCCAGTAAAGCTCCTTCAGGGCTGAGCCTAAACCAAGGTTCTGCTTTATCCTAACACTGTTGGCTGAGAATTGAGATCATAAAAAGATGTTACTTTCTAAATTTGAAAAGATAAACAGAGAAGGATTGTAAGTGAAGTCTACAAGTTACATGAAGACTATCACTATTTTAAAGTTGTGGTATTTGAGATCACCAAGTTCTAGGATTAGGTTTTAGTGTTTTAGGTTACTAGAAACTTCCATCCCATGTTAGCATTCACAAACTGAGTTAAGATGGCCACTGGGGATGTTGTGCCTACTTGCTTTCCTAAGCCTCGCCGTCCGTCTGTGTCTGTCTAAGATGGGTCTCATGTAGTCCATGCTGGTTTGAGACTTCTGGTCCTGTTTCTGTTGACCAAGTCCTGGGATTCAGGCAAATGTTTTTTTTTTCTGACTTGGATTGAAGAAAAGGAGCAGAGCAAAGATTGACCCCCTTGTGTGTCTTCGAGTGCAGCAGGTCACTGTGTCTTTCTCCTGTGTCCTCCTGGGTCTCGTCAGCTCACTCCTTAGGTGTGGCTCAACTCTTAGAGTCTTGTCAGCAGCCTTATTCTCCAGCAGGACTGGCTGCCTTTTCTTTCCTGATTTTTAAAAAGCTTTTTTTTTTTTTGCTTTAGCAGTTCATGAATCTGAATTAAGTTTGTCTTTTTCATTGTAAGTTTTCTTCTTCCCTGACTAATTTTCAGAATAGTTTTCTAGTGGATGAATGACTTTGAATTTTATTACATTTCAAGATACATACTTCTGTATACTTCAAATATGAGTTAACAACTTTATAATAAAAAGAGTGAAAAATTGGTATTAAATTTTAGGAGATACCTTTCCCTAAGAAGCAAGTACCACCACAACTAGCATTATTCAGTTGTGGCACCAGGATTGTGTAGTTGAAGTTTTCTCCAGTCCTGCCCAGCCCCACGGACCCTGCAACCACTTATAAAATAATCACTCAGAAACTTATATTAATTAAACTGCACGGCCATTAGCTCAGGCCTACCACTGACTATCTCTTACACTTAGACTCAGACCATTTCTGTTAATCTATATGTCGCCACGCGTTCTGTGGCTTTACCTGTTGCCTTGACATGTTGCTCCCTGGACGGCAGGCTGGTGTCTCCTCACTCAGCCTTCCTGTTCCCAGAATTCTCCTCTCTCTTTGTCCTGCCTATACTTCCTGCCTGGCTCCTGGCCAATCAGTCCTTTATTTATTAACCAATGAGAGCAACACATTCAGAGCATCCAGAACATCCCGCAGCAGGATTGTGAACTGTGTAGAGGGAAGCTGGCAGAGCCCTCACTTACATGCCCATCAACAGTGCCACTGTGCTTGGATGGAGTGCAAGGTGTTTGTTGTAGCTATGATTTTAAGTAACTGTTGCCAGATCAAATTTTTATAAACTCTTCTGTATTGTGTGAGGCTCAGGAAGTTAACTTCCAATTGCAGGGTTTGGTACATTTCATCTTTTTCTTAAAACTTAATTACAGAAATATAATAATTTATGAATTGAACAACACTTATAAAGTAGATCAACAAAAAAGCAGTAACCTTTAGTCTACTGCCTGATGAAAACTAGTAACATTTCAGTACAATTTAGTGCGGCAGTTTTTATTTCATTATGAGAATACTGCAGATTCAGTTTGTGCCCTTTTTATTTAACAAATATTTTTGAAATAAGCGATCACAATAAATTCCCAAATATTAGGCAGTTGAAATAAAGACCAGTAAGACTAAGGTATGTATTTTCTTTAAAGTAGTGAGAAAAACGTGGTATGAATCTTTGAGTTTTTGGTATGAATTCTTGTGAGCTTGTTGTTAGAACTCGCTTGGAAAAACATGTTAATGTAAACTTAGGAAACTGGAAGAAGAGTATTTGGCTAACTAATGTGATCTGGTTAATGTGATGATGGCTGTGAACCAATGCAAGAGGACTTTATAATTTCTAGAATAGACTTATTCTAATAATTTATGCATAATATTTCGTATAGAAGATACTTGGTTTTCACTTACACAGATTGTTTATGTTTGACATAGCTCTGTGTACATATCTTATATAATTTAATGAGTTAAAGACTTTAGATGGTAAAAAATCTGCATTTTAAAAGTGACTCTTTTTTTTCTTTTAAATTTTTAAAAAGAAACCCAAGTGTGGTGGGCAACGTGCTGTTTGGATCCCAGCTTCGATGTGTTCTAGTTGCCACTCTGGTGGTGTGATAAAATACTCTGACCAGAAGCACCGTAACGAGGGGGAGGGTTTAGGTGGCTTATGCTGCTAGGTCACAATCCATCATTGAGGGGAGTCGGGCAGAACTCAAGAATTGAACAGAGACCGTGGAGGAACACTATCTGCTTAGCTAGCGTTCTCATACAGCCCAGGCGCACCCAGGGAATGATGATGTCTGCACAGGGCTGGCCCTCCTGCACCAGTCCCCTACAGACATGTCCACAGGCCAGTCTGATCTGGGCAGTCCCTCACTTGAGACGCCCTTCTCAGGTGTCCCCTGGCTGTGCCAAGTTGAAGTTAAAGCTAGTATCTAGGACAACAGGAGAGTCTAGTCTTTCTTATTCCACTTTAGAAAAAAGGGAAGTGAAGGCTTATGCATTCATAGTCATTCGCTTGTTTTCTTTTTTTAAATGTGATTTTGAAAACTAGCTGAGGAAGCTACAAACATTGCCTTTGTTTTTTTTTTTTTAATTCAGGCCCTAGGAAATTGGCTGAATTTGTGATATTTGCTTTAAACGATAATGTTATTTTTAAAGACAGAGTCTCTTATAGCTCCAGCTGGCTGCCATGTAGCTGAGGTAAAGTTTTTTGGTCATTAAAAATAATTCTGCCCTTGGGTGTACAGCAGGGAAGGTTTAGGTAGATCCATGAGGAGAAGAAATTAAAATAAATTTCATTAAAATATTCATTAAAATAAAAAAGTTCTACTCTGAAAGACACTGTTAAGAAGTTGGTACAGGTGGTGGTGGCACATGCCTTTAATCCTAGCACTTGGGAGGCAGAGGCAGGCGCATCTCTGTGAGTTCAAAACCAGCCTGGTCTGTAGAGCGAGATCCAGGACAGCCAGGACTACACAGAGAACCCCTGTCTCGAAAACACAGAAGGGGTGGGGGGAGGAGGGAAAAGAAAAGAAAAGAAAGAAAGAGAGAGAAAGGGACACACAGACAGGTGTTTTGGAATGCTTTTCCCAACCCGATGGAGGAGCACAGTTGAAGATGCACTAAGAACCTTAGAAGTCAGCACTGAGAAAACAATCCAAGCTGGGTGTAGTCCTGGGCTTGGGAAACTAAAGCGGGAGCATCTCCAGTTCATGGGGGTGGTCGGGGAGAGCTAAAAAGTGAGGGTGAAGAGAAAGCAACCCGATTCAAAGTGGACGGGCGGTCTGAAGAGAAAACCTCAACTAGAGAAGATAGGCCAATGGTAAATTAAACTGGGGTTCCACCGTGTCCCCCAGAATAGTGAAAATTCAAGACTGATGATGCCAACTGCTGCAGAAAACGGTATAGGTACTTTGGAAGACACTTGGGCAATTTCTTATGAAGTTAATTTAGTCTGATCGTAGGCTTCAGCAATTGTGCTCCTAAGCATTTACCGCAGGAGTTGAAAACTTCTGTTCACATTAAAACAACAAAACAACTGCACACATGTGTCTGTAGCACTTTTATTCATAATTGCTCAAACTTAAAACCAAGCAGCATGCCTTGGAGTAGTTGAATGGATGAATGAACTGTGGTATTGGAGTATCTCACACATGGAATATTCATATCTGGTGACACAGAAACTAGTGGGCTGGGGTGTAGCTCGGTGCTACAGCACTTGCCTAGCATGGGTGAGTCCTGGGTTGTGTCCTTAGGACTTCAAGAACAAAACACAATCCAAGGACATATGCCATCAAACACATAGGGAAGAACCCTACGTGCATATTGCTGAAGACAAGAAGGCAGTCTGGAAAGGCTGTGCATTTTGTGATGTCCACCGTGATATTGTGGAAACGCAGGACTACAGAGCTCGTGCAGAGACACGTGGGGAGAGGGGAGGATAAAAGGAGCACCCAATGCAGAGGGTGTTTAGGACAGAAACTATTCTGTGTGATAGATACTGTGATGGTGGGTGCTGGCCCTGTGTATGCGTCAATGCACATAGAACTAAGAAAGAGCCCTAAAGGGAACCATGGGCTTTAGTTATTACCAGTGTGCTAACATCAAATGTGCTGGAGCAGTGTAAGGTGTTTATACGACAAGCGTGAGTGTTGAGAGCAGATAGGGTGTATATGGGAGCATTTAGTTTCTGCTCAGATTTAAATGAATGCTTTAAGAAATAAAGTGAGGCCTAAAAACTGGTTGAGCACCTGCCTGCCCTATGGAAAGTCCTGGGTTCTATCCCTCCCATTACCAGTACACATACATATACATACATACAGTGAATATTAATTTTAAAATATATTTTTTAATATTCTGATAGTCTGATAAAATGTCAGTGTTGTTTTGTTAAAGAAAAGTAATGATTTTTACAAAATATGGTCAGTATTATTAATTTCTAGGTGTAAGATTATCTGATAAGATATCAAATATATGTTTTAGAGTTTTGCACAATTTGTTACCTAATTAAAAATTACAATTACGCCGGGCGGTGGTGGCGCACGCCTTTAATCCCAGCACTCGGGAGGCAGAGCCAGGCGGATCTCTGTGAGTTCGAGGCCAGC